AATTACACTCGCTCGGAAGGACGCGGACAGCGTGCCGCAACTCCGCTAATCGCAATATTTTCATATATCCTTCCGTGATTTATGATACTCATTCGTTTTTCTCTCTTCCTCGACTTTTGTTCACGTTGAAAATCCAACGAACGCGTTTTCTCGATACAACGACGTAAGAGGATATAGCACTCGGCGCGTAGCAGATTTATTTCTTTTATTTTTGAAAGAAAGAGAAAGAGAAAAGAAAAATAAAGAGAAGGAAAGAGAAAAGAAGAGGAAAAAATAGATAGAGAGAGAGAGAGAAAGAGAGAGAGAGAGAGAGAAAGAGAGAGAGAGGAGTAGGTCCCTATGTCGTGGGCACGCTGCAAATCACTTTTAATTAGATTCGGAAGTGTTTCGCCATTCCCCGTAAGAATGGTAAAGAAAACGAGAGACCGAAAGGGGAATCCGCGACGTCGTTAAAAATATTACCCTGTGTAATTAAATACGAGAATATCCCTTTCATTATACGCTGTTTTTAACGCCCGAAATTCGCGCTTGTCGAAAAAGAGAAGAGAAAGAAAACAGCGAGAGAGAGAGAGAGAGAGAGAGAAAAAAAGAGAGAAAAAGTAAAAAGTAAATAGTAAAATGTTTATAAGCATGACCCATATTCGTTAGATAGGACGAAAGAAAGAGAGAGAGAGAAAGAGAGAAAAAAAGAGAGAAAGAGAAATAGAAAGAGAAAGAGAAAGAGAGAGAGAGAGAAAGAACGCATAATTCTAGACGCCTCATGAACGAAAATGTGCGTCTGCTTAGGCTAGAACATTTAACGAGCTAGTTATCCATATTAGAACAGCTGCGCGTATGACATTCCTAGTAATATGTACATTCAAGCGTATTCGTCGAAAATTCAAGATATTCAATCGTAAATTCATACTGTATTTATTACAATTCATTTACTACCTTCATTAAGAGAACGAGAAAAAGAGCAAGAAAGGAAAGAAAAGTCACGTTGCGAGAAAACGTTCGGATCAATACTGATATTTTAATATTATCTTTCATTATTAATAAAACATTTAATTATTCGATACCGAAACATCAAAATAAAATGTTTGATATCAACAGAAAAATCTTACGATATTTTTCGACGAAATGGAAAAAGAATAAATTACTATCTTATATTCATTGAACTACCTTATATTCATGTCCGTCATTTATTATTGCATAATAGTCGATATAACACTAAATAAATAACTGCCACGCATGAATTTTTATTTCAGGAAACAGAAAATCAATTATTGTTCATTATATATTTGAATGTATTAAATAAAAGTAGTCTAAATTAATTCCAATCTGAATTAAAATGAATTAAAGAATTAATTAACAAAGAAGTTATTTAAAAAGAAAAAGTTGTGTTATTAATTATACGATCGAAATTATAATATGTATTTTCAAATTCATGACCATCTCCCTCAAAGTTATCTTAATAAATCTGAAGAAAAAATTTTTCTTAGATCGAAATATCAAAAACAATGTAGACCAGAAAGAGTTAAAGGCTCGGACTATGAAAAGAGAGATAGACGATTCTAATATCTCATTCGGATCTCGTTTGTGTTTTAGATAGCACGTTAGTCAGGTCCAGCGAGCTTTTTTGCATTATTCGTTAGCCTTAATTCTTTTTCAAGGAGAAAGAACACTTCTAATCAAGTATCATGCTTTGCTAACGTCACTCGCAAAAAAAACCAAAGCTCGTTCTATCTCTTTCTTTCTCTTTTCCTCTTCCTGCTCCTCCTTTTTCTCCTTCACCTCATCCTCCTCCTTCTTCTTCTTCCCTTTCTATCTCATTATACCTCAGATTTGTTAATTAGCCTCGACATGATTACGCGACACCTACAGTAAAATGTAACGTGTCTTCATTATTTGAACGTTAAGGAGAAACTCCCATGGAGTCAGTAGAATTTCGCATGATTGTCGTCTAGCAGCTTGGCTAGCAACAACGACCAACCGGCATCGGTAACAGGTGCAAATGAAATTTGTTTAGAAATAAAATTAATATTTAACGTACATACATGGGTATGTACAGTTACGCGGGACACCGTTTTAACGAGGGTATTATCTCGACCGGTAGTCGCGGAACGTTAGTTGAGTACGCTTAAAATACAAGGACGGCTCTCGTAAATCGCCCTGCTAATTAGCGTGATACGGATCAGCCTCTCGTACGACGACATAGAAACGAGAGAGTCGCGTCTGCAAACGGTGTATATTGTACATTTCGCTCTTTATCTATTTCTCTTTCCCTCTTCTCTCTCTCTCTCTCTCTCTCTCTCTCTCTCTCTCTCTCTCTCTCTCTTTCTCATTCATTCTCTTTTTCTTCTTCCTATTATTACTCCGTCGAAAGGCGTTATCATGTGGCGTACACGAGCTTCCATTTTCTACTTTCATCGTTAACTCGAAAACTAACTCGATGAAAAGTGAGACACAAAAACTTGAGATTTATTAACCAATTTAGGCATATTTCTGATAAAACGTATGAATCTAGGAAAAACAATCGGTACTAAGGAATAGAAGAAAATTATTCGGTTATCATTGATTACAAAATTATCAATTATTTCATCGATCGACTGATAAATTTTGTTTGCTTTTCTCTTTTTGTTTTCTCTTTTTTGCTTTTCTTTTCTTTTTTTTTCTTTTTTTTTTTTTTTGAATAAAATTGTTGAAACTTTTAATCACCTACCATTGCGGTTTATTGAACGAGCGTACAGTTTACCGATTAAAATTTATATTTGATCACTTTTCAAAGTCATCGGTAATACACGATTAATAGCATTTATATATGAGGTGAGATTCATTAAAAAATAAATTAGCTAATTAATACTTTTTACATTTATGAAAGAAGTTTCAAAAAAGGGAAAAACATTATTCTCTCCTTCTTTCTCTATCCACTTTTCGTGAATCTTAATCCGTGTTTATAAACGAACGTTGAAAAATAAATGATTAATAAGTCTGATGATCGAGTTATCCGTCCCTATTCTTTTTCCCCTCTTCAAATTAATGCATGAAAATGGTTTAGCGAGTTTGTCGTGGTTTTGCGTGGATTATCGTCGACGATGTTGGTCAGAAGAAAGACAGGAGTCAGAAACCGCGCAGAAACTCAACCACTGCCGCTTCGACAGAGTGAAAGAGTAAGAGAGAGAAAGAGAGAGAGAGAGAGAGAGAGAGAGAGAGAGAGATGACCCGGTCGACAAGTTATTCGCGGTTCACCATTGAATAATTTAACGTTTAATTTCACGTTGGTTCGTCGTCGTCATCGGCATACCGCGGTACCGTTGATTCGTACCGTGAAACATTTAGCACACGCCAAATTTCCCATGCGACTCGCCGGGTAATACCTACCATACACATACCTACGTAGGGATAAAGGGACACGTATGTACGCATGCGCGCACACGTGCGTAAGCTCGAGAAGCGTGTTTCGCATTCCATAACTCCTCTTCACCCACCCACTCTCACTCCACTCTCACCCCTGTCCTCATCCACCCGTATCCATTTTCACTCCCTCGTATTTATTCACTGATCGAGAATGATCGCTATTGCTTAATCGATAGATCCATAAACGTTTCCTTGAAAATTTTACTCGATTTTACCGAAAAATTTTACGACCTATTTGTCGTTTCCAAAAATGAATGAGATGGGAAAATTGATGGATGAATTTTGTGCTGCTTTCTTGATACAACGAGTTTTCTGTATAAAGTTACTCGCAAAGTGATTGGATTCATAGAAAAATATAAAAAATAAATTCCTCGGTAATTACGAGACACGTAAATCGAATCAAATTAAAGTATCTAGTCTAACTGTTATATTTTAATAACATTCTTCTCTCTTATAATGAATAAAATTGATAGTTTCTTTTTTGTCAGATATTCATCGTTAAATTCCACTCTACAATCCTCTCTCACTTTTTTGTAATGCTTCCCTTATTATTATTACTATTATTATTATTTATTACTATAACTAATCTATAAATTTCAATATTTTCATTAGAATTGTTATATCTTCTGCTATTATTGTTGCAACAAAGTAACAAATTGTTATTCCAGAACATCTCTAAACCACATTTCTACTATTAAAACAAACAAAAGCTTTTTAAAAGTTATCCCGTCCCTTTCTAACTCGTTCAACAACCTTTTCCTTCGCAGATAATCTTTCTTAATCCTACATTTAAACTCCGATAGTTTTATCTCAATAACTAAAAACACCAATTAGAAACGAGTAAAGAAATTCTATTTCTACAAAATTTCTATTAATCCATTCAATCGCATTACTCTCAAGGCACGTATTCTAATTATTATAATTATTAATGCCAGATATCTTTTCTGCGATCGAGTAAATGTCATTTTAATTAAAATCGTAATTCTATGAGTATTAAAAGTCTTATCGGTTCTAACAATAAGTATGATACCAGTATTATTATTCGCAATTCCCGCTTGACGGGATAAGAGTTGGTAAAAAGTTGACGGAATGAAAAAAGAGAAAATCATTGTTAAGAAGAGAGAGAGAAAGAGAAAAAGAGAGAGAGAGAGAGAGAGAGAGAGAGAAGGGATGGAGGAAACGTAGCGTCAAAAAACGAGCAAGCTAGAAGAAAGGGTAGAAGCGGCAGTGAACCGCGTTACGGATTAACGGTGCGCCGGTACGGCAACGACGATGCACTTCCCGCATATCCTAGCGTCCGGACAGCTCGTGAGATATTCAACGGAGCGAATATCCGGCCAGATTATACGATTTTCCCCTCTTTCTATCGTCTTTTTTTTCCTTTTCTTTCTAAATCCTGTGCTATGATGCTGGAAAAGGGAAAGAGAGAGAGGAGAGAGAGAGAGAAAAAAGGAAAGAGCAGATAGCAACGCGAAACTTCAACTCGGAACCGATATCTTTTGCAAAAAAAAAAAGAAAAAAGAGAGAAGGAGAAAATTGGCGAACTAACGATACACCAGTCACGGTTGAAAGAGATGAAGAAGACTACCTAGATAACATACCTGGTGTTATTGAAAATTTCGTCTAAAGCATGCCTGAAGATGTCCTCGTTTATTTCCTCGTATTCGAGTAATATAGATACACCTCTGTACTCTGCAGTCACAGCATTTACATACTGATCACCGTACATCGGTATGAGAACCATTGGGACAGCCGCGTACACAGCTTCCGTAAGACCCAACAAACCAGCATGACCCACATATGCTTTTACGTTCGGATGATCTGAAAAAACATTTGCAAAATAATTAATAAAATTATATGGATCGATATAAAATATAATATCTATTGTAAAATTCTTCCTATTTTTTTTTAAGTAAATAACAAAAGAAATAAAATACATCTCCATGATGGTCATTAATGTTTAATTGACAATGACATTTTCTTTAATATGAAGAACTTCGTCCGATATTGATCAAAAGCTTTTGAATTTCTTTATGATAAAAAAGACTCGTCCTTGGAAAATATAATCTCATCCAATACGAAAAGAACTTTTTAATAAATTCAATAATTGGATCACTATTAAGCGTTTTCGTTACAACCATGCTTAATAAGTAAATGTTGATGATAAAAAAGTTAAAATCTTTTTTTTAATTATCTTGTTTTAAATTCTATGTTAATAGGATCATAATGTTATCGCATCGACTTGAAAATAAAAAGAGAAACGACTAACTTCTCCATCTACTCTTTTCAATTTTTTCCTCCTTTAAAACCATTCCAACCGATTTCCCCGGAAGGCAGAAAAAATAATTCCGAGTCGATCGAGCAAGAACGATGTAAAAGCAAGCGAAGCATAAAGTCTAGGAAAGAGACACAAACCGATGAAATTCGTTCATGATATCAAAGCAAGGAAGACGATCGAAGTGCACGTATACTGAAAAAATATAAGAAAAGAAGACATAGATAGAGAGAAAAAAGAGAAAGAGATAAATAGAGAGAGAGAGAGAGAGAAAGAAAGAGAGAGAGAGAGAAGAATCTCAACACGATTCGAAAGCAAGTAGCGATGAGAAATCGATCGACACATTAGAGGCCTTCTTCTAGGCGAAGAGCAAAGCACATCGTGTAATCGCAAAATTCGATGGAAAAATCGTTGCCGAGTCGCTTATCGCTGACGACAGTACCACCTTATTCTTTCTTTCGATCTCTCTCTCTCTCTCTCTCTCTCTCTCTCTCTTTCTCTTTCTCTTACACATATATACTTCTTAAAGCGTTGATGATGAAAAAGGATAGGCGACACACCCTCCTATTCGACACAGAATGCCACCTCCAGCGTCGATCCTAATGTCAAATTCCATTACCGCGGCACGGCAACCCTTCTTTTTTCTCTTTTCTCCAACCTACATTCACTCTTCAACCCCCATCACACTTCTATCCTCCTGGATAGAAATGTACGTGCCGGTTTGCATTACATCTCTTCCTTTTTGCTCTACCTATTTACCATCTATCTATATATATATATATATATATATAGATATATAGATATATAGATATATATAGATATATATATATATATATATATATATATACATATAAAATACATTGTAGAGGTAGACGTAGATGTGCGTGATAAATCGTACAATGTGCGAGTAAAAAAAAGTAGAAAAAACAGAGATTGTTTTTTCTCTTTCTTCTTTTTTTTTCTTTTTTTCTTTTTTCACAAATTTCCGCTGTTGAGAAACTTTGACAAATGTTTGTTACTTCGAATAATTTACAAAAAAAACACCCATTCAAATTTCAGTAACGCACTTATGGATAATTTTTCATTTTCACCTTTCGTAAATTTTAAATATAAATAAAATTAATTACGCAATATTTTGAACCCTCTATTATATTCCATGTACACGTAGATATTCCTATAATAGGAAAAAACCTCTCCTATAATAGAAAAGGCATCTCTCTTTGTCGTTTACGATAGGTAAGCTAGGCGTAGTCGTTCTCCCGTCAATCGCATATATCTATGTATGTATGTACGTATCGAAAATAGAGAAAGAAAAAAGAGAGCAAACGAGAGAGAGAGAGAGAGAGAGAGAGAGAGAGAGAGAGAGAGAAAGAGAGAGAGAGAGAGAGAAAGAGAGAGAAAGAGAAAGAGAGAGAGAGAGAAAGAGAGAGAGAGAGGAAAATAGAATACGAATGAGAGATATCCATCTATCCATCTACCATCCAGCGATCGGTCTGAATTTTTGCCGACGAGTCGACAGCACCGAGGCGAGAAGACGAAAAATCGGGCGTACGTACGCGCACGATTTGAGCGAGATTTTACGCTTCGGCATCGAAGTCGCGTGCGCTCCTCTCTCGGCACAAACCCTCGGCACGTTCGATTTTTTCCCCCATTTTGCTTCTTCTTTTACTTTTTCTTTCTCTCTTCCTGTCTTCCTTTCTCTCTCTCTCTCTCTCTCTCTCTCTCTCTCTCTCTCTCTTTCTCTCTGATTCTTTTTTTTTCTTTCTCTCTCTTTCTCTCTGATTCTTTCTTTTTCTTTTTCTCTCTTTCTCTCTCTTTCTCGCTCTCTCTTTTTTTTTTCAATTTCTGTCACCTCTGCTCCCGACACGATTATTTTCACCATCGATATTTTCGACAAAAAATTGTAAGTCAGAAAACACAAGTTTTTCTGGCATACCAATCGAAGCAAAAATAAAGAACATAATATATGGAAGTAATACGTATAATGTAATTAAATAAATATGAATAAGAAGTTTATTACAGTGAAGGAATATTTATTTACGAGTCAACCAAAAATTTATTACATTGTCTTGAATAGTTTTTTGTAACCCTTTGATAAGTGAGTAATAATTACGATAGATCTAATTTTTTTGTACGAAATTGTAAATTTTTTCCTTGTAGGATTTCAATGCGTTTCAATCATTTTATCACCGAAAGAGTTAATTTTTGTAAGTATCTTCTCTTGTTGAATTTCATCCATGAAGAATACATCTAATTAATTATTCTACATTTCCATTTCCTTGTTGGGAACTTTGTTCCAATGTCTCGTTATAAAATTTTTACGAAAACTCGAATATATTCTGAATTCTTTTGTTGTCTGAGCTCCTTCGTATCAGTTACATTGCTTCAGAAAAGTTAGGAGACACGCGGAAGCAGAGGTGGATGCGCCTGAAAATTCTATCGCTCTTCACGATAGACGTTTCACAAGGTACAGCATCGACAATATTTTCACTCCGTTCCCAATAGAGGCAACTCGAAGTCAGAGCGAAGCGATCGAGACTCGTAAAGCGATTACCGTCTCTACATCAGCTCCACTTAAATGTTTCTTCGTGTTTCGAAGCATTGAGAGCTTCCGAAACTCAAGTCGACGTCGCTTTCTCATTGAAAATTAAAGCTAATTTTTTTCTAACTTCGTATGCGATCAACTCTTCGCAGATACACATCTGTATAAATAGTAACGTTTAAAAAGAAATATATTTAACGAATGATTCAACGAAAGTCAGAATTATCTTTATTTTTGTTCTAAAGACGTCTATAACTTAATTTATATAACAAAATTTTTTAATGGACAACCTATTAATTTTCAGAATTTTTCTTATTCATAACAAATAATGATCATAAACAAGCATAGGACCATAAATTGTAAACTTGCTTAAGAGCAAAATATGCTCTTAAGCATATATGATGCATAAGATATACAATACATTTAAAATGTAATTTCTATGAGAAAAATAGTTAAAAAACTGTCTTAATTGAATTTAAAAATAATCTGACCGTGGAAGAAACCAAACGAAATTTCTTATCAGGAAAATTGTATCGTTGCGTTTAACCATAGCCCGTCGAAAGATATCAGCCTTCATTTGATATTCGAAACAGCCTCTAGCGAGATAAGTATGCGGTTTATCGAAAAAGAGAAGGGTGGATAACCATTCTCAAAGCAATGAAGGGTGCGGTCCGTTTCCGATAAGACTATGTTCATCGATCGATCGAATATGCATTGGTGTGAACAAATCTGATAGTTTAAAAGTTCTAAAAGATGCAAAAGAAAAATAAATGAAAAAGAACAAAAAGAAATAAAAATAAAAAATAAAAATAAATAGGGAAAAGTAACGGGAGACCATTAGAAGTCGTTTATGTGAAACGACATAAATACTGGTGAACAAACGAGAACTCTCTTATGTGTTAGTCGCTTAACGTGACACGCTGCGATATGAAATTTTACGCTCCTACCAACAGAAAGTACTGCGACAAACGTTCTGAAAACACATTCCCAGGAAATGGTAGATTTTATGGAGAACGATTTCCATTTATTCGTCCACTCTTTTAAACTTCATTTTGTCTTACATTGCCGATATCACATTATCGTTTTACTTTCTACGTTGACCAATCTCCGTTAAACAATTTTATAATAACAATATAATATAAAACGATCGTATAGACGATAAAAATAATCGTTACGACAAATGAAAGAAAAACAAATAAAGAAACATGTTAAAAATTGATCCATGTGTATCGATATACTTACGAACATAAGAAATAAGTATTTTATTTTATATAATAATTTATCGCTATTATCGTCTTCGGCAATGACGTAATTGTTTTCAAGTTTCTCGAGTTTCTCTTTGTTACCTACATTCGATCGTCTTTGTAACGACGTTCTATTAATTAGAATTTCCGGTAATAGATCGACGGCTGCCGTATCGATCGATACAAGGAAAATTGAGGATCGCGTATGTGACCATCCAATCTCCGGAACGTTTCATAGCAACGAGAAAGAGAGAGAGAGAGAGAGAGAGAGAGAGAGAGAGAGAGAGAGAGAAGTATTAAGCTACCGGACGAAGATAAATCAAGAAAGAGAGAGAGAGAGAGAGAGAGAGAGAGAAAGAGGAAAACGGATGTAGATGTTTCGTTGGAAAAGTAATTTGCAAGGAAAATAGAAGGCGAGCCGAACTTCGAGGAAAAGTGTAGACTCCCTTGCTCGACCGATATTAAATCTTTCACGTTGCAGTTTTCAAAGAAAAACGACTATAGCTTGAGTGGTCGGAACTTGGAAGACATCGAAACACTTACTCATTACTATATTTTCCTTCGACGATTCTCATCGCGAATTAAGAAACTCTCTTAATAATTATTATCGATTTGTTTTCCTTTTTTTTCCGTTCAAACGTAACGCATCTAATACGAATTAAATTCGTAATATTAATAACAATAAGAATTTATACGTTATCTAAAGAAATAGAAAAAAAAAAGAAAATATTTCGACATATCACGTTTTTATAAGTTTTGT